CAAACTTGGGATCCTCCTGCCTCAGTCTCACAGAATTTTCATTGCACTTTTTAAAAAAGTTTGTAAATGTTTAAACATTTCACAGCTTTCTACAGTTCTTCTCTTAGTCTCATCCAGGCATCCTCCCAGCCAAGACAGGTATGTGTTCACATCCAGGTCCCTGTTTGCTCAGTACCCGCTTCTCAGCAAATACCGCTCATTGTCTTGAAGACCCTCTCCAAACAATCCTCTTTCCCTCTGCTAAGCCATTTCTGCATAGCAGTCTTTCAGGCTTTTCCCTTCTTCCCTGCCTCCCTCCCTGTGCTTTCTCTGTATGTATCCTTTCTGTGAAGGGCAGAAACTGCTGGAGATACAGGAAACCCACACCTTGTCCAGGTTTTCATCTTTCCTATCTGTGGTGCCACTATTAGGTATCGTGGAACCCAGCACTAGGCTTCAGGTTCTTCTACACTGCTGCAATACCATGCCTGTTTTTAGGAAGATGTGCTATGAGCTATGTTAATGATAAGGTGTTACTGATAGCCTGACTCCAAAGAGATTCTTTTTGTTTTGTTTTGTTTTGTTTTTCCGGTACCGGGAATGGAACTCACAACCTCGCGCTTGCCAGGCAGGTGCTGTGCCGCTGAGCTAAATCCCCAGCCCCTCCAAAGAGATTCTGATACACACAGATGAGAGCTTATTAAGCATACTGCAAGTATTATCACTAAACATACTGCAAATATTTTCAAGTTTTGTTTGGCTTTATGTAATCTAGAATTTACTCTTTTACTTCTAAATTCTGTTTGTGTTTTTGTTTTTGTTTTTTTGGTGTTTTTGAGACAGGGTCTTGCTGTCAGTTTAGGCGGGCTCACTTTGTAGCCCAGGCTGACCTCGAACTCACAGTGATCTCCTGCCTCAGCCTGCCGAGTGTTGGAATTGCAGGCATGCACCACCATGCCTGGCTACTTCTAAATTCTTAACTAAGAATTATTTATATCCCAGGGGAATGCTTTCATTCCTTCAGAAATGATTTATTGATTGTTATGCACACCCAGCCAGTCATTTTTTATAATAATAATAAAGGAAGAATTCATTATATTTGGGTTGAGGGGGCTTGAGGAAAATAGCTAACATCTTTGCAGACTTGTCTGTTATACCTGACTCTGTCCAGCATTATCTTGATAGGAATCCTTAAACCTGTGCCAGAGATTTGTGAGTTATCATCCCATTTCACACACAGTGAGACCAAGACTCTGAAGAACTGAGAACCTTGCCCAAGGGCACACAGCTTATAAGGGACTAGTGCCAAGGACCAAGGCTCAGGCTCACTGGCTCCCCCTCCAGCACTTGTGACAGCAGAAAAGAGGTATTAAAAGCACTGAAAAGCTGTACAAGAGGAGCTCATCTCCAACTGAGGAGATTCAGGGAAGATGATTTCATGTTTTTAGCAGGTTATTGAAGGATATTTGTGATTTCCCCAAAATAGCATCCTTATGAGGTTTGGAAACAGATATCACATTACTATGCGTAACTCGCAGCTCTCTGGTACAGATTACTTTAAAGACAAAAATCTCCTTCCCTCGAGTAAACGTTTCTTTGGGAGTGTTCATTCTTTTCTGTTTATGCTCATTAACTCATGCCTGCTCTAATATTCCCTGTGTCTGCTTCAGTTATGATGTGAAAAACAGCACTGAACATCCTTAGAATCAGGAACGGGAGAGATTCTGCAGTCCTCATCCTGTGTGGATCAGGACAGCTGAGGGTATTCACCCTGCAGCGGAGACCTTTGGTCATGTCCCAATTCTGTAATGCAGGCAGCTCTCTGCACTGAGGGAGGACCCAAGCCGCACTGCCGCTGCTGATTTTCCCTCCCTGGTGAGCTGCTGCATTTGCGTTTAGTTCTTATCCTAGGACAGTGCCCTGCCCTTAGGAAGTGCTAGGGGAGCGTTGGCTATTACTGATCATCAGAAAAATCCCCAAATCAGTATGAATAGGAAGAAGGAAGGCTAGAGGGGGCTTTGGGGTCTTTCAGAAAACCTGACAAGGAAAATAGTGACAAATTAGCATTGATTTTTAGAGTGCCTTTGAGGTAGTTCATCATGTTAAAGGTCTGAACTAGCAGACTATTCACATAGAAGAATGACTGGTGGAGTCTCAGAGGGGATCATATAAATCTACACAGATGCCAACAGTGCAGACAGATCCAGCTAAAGAAGCCACATTATTCCATGACACCTGCAAATCTGAATCCCAGCTCCAGCCAGGTCCAATCGTGAGGCAGAGGCTGACTAGAACTCCAGTGTCTGGAGTACAGCTGCCTCAGTGACCTTGGAGTTGTCTTTAAACCCTAGGACCCTGAGTAAAAAGTGCCTCCTCTGAAAAATTTTTTCATCCTTTCTTCCCTGTTCCCTATCTCTCTCCTTTCCTCCCCCTTTTCCTCTCTTCCAAAAATGGTATGTAAACTTGAGAAAAGCAAGGAGGGAAGGAGGAAAGGGACATAAAAAACCTTTCACCACCCCTTTTCTATTTCCCCTAATTAACCAGAGTCAGATTCTTTGAATCTTTGGAGAGGTTTTATCCGTAATATGTGAATATCTGTAAGCTTTTTAAAAATTCATAGGAGATGTTACTCCTCCATGCCTTACGTTTTTAACTTAATACATATTAAAGATCTTGTAGCATCCAGATAGCTCCACTTCTTTATTTTTTATGTTATCAGAATTATGTATAAAAACATTTCAGTGAGATACTGAAATTCTGAACCCTTATGCCTCTCACAATGTAACAATATATTCATTAATTAATTAATTGAAACTTGGCAGAACTACAAGGAGAAACGGATCAGTCCACAATCACAGTGGCAACTTAGCCAAGTCTCTCAGAAATTAATACATATCAATAAGCCAAAAGCAAAGAGTAATGACACAGGAGATTTAAACCACGCTTGGAGGAGTTTGACTGAGTGGGAATGTGAGGCGTGGGTGCCCAAGGGTTAGGAAAGACACACGCTCACCTGGGATCTGCAGAGCACCTGGCGTGTGCTTGACCAAAGCTCACTAACAGTAATCTCTTTGCAGATGTCATTTCTGAATTGGTTTTGTCTTTTTCCTCCATTTCTCTCCTGAGTTCTATGGGTTCCTGTTTCACATATGCTGTTTTATGACTGTAGGGGCTCTGAATTCCTTTAATTATGCATTAGGATCTTTCTTAACTGTAATTGCTTATTAGGACTTTTTGCTTTCTTTTTCTACTTTTAATCTGCTTATAATGATTGCATGTATTTAAGGAGTGTGCTGTGCTGTATCGATTCACACGTACAATGTGTGATGACCAAACCAGGGCAAGAAGAACAGCCATCGCCTTCAGCACCCATCAGTTCTTTGTGCTAGGGGTGCTCAAAACGCCCCCTTCTTGTTATTTTGAAATACACATTAAATTGTTCTCCACTACAGTCACTCGGCTTTCTTTTTAACTCATGCTGGAATGTTGGGTTTAATTTTCTTCACTTATGCTTCATTTTTCAGGTAGGTTTTTACCATACCCAGGAGAAATTGGCCTGCTTTTTTCCATCGTTTTTCTTGTGCTGTCTTTACCTCTCGATCCCAAGTGTGTCCCTCAGGACTAGCGTGGTGCTGGAAGTAATACCCTTATCCTAGTTTGTTTTTCTCAGTAACACTAATGACATCAGAGACATGTGGGGGCACATCTGCAATTCAGTTGGCAAATTATCCAGCTCCCTAGTCCAGAGGGAAGAATTTGTGTCTAGTTGACCCCCAGCTTATCTCCAGTAACTAACTCAGTGCCTTAAGATTAGTCATAAAGGAAGTAATAAAGTAAAAAAAAATAATAATAAAATAATAAATAATAATATATATTATTGCCTTTATTATTATATATTATAAAATAATAAATAATAAAATAAAAATAAAATAATTAGTAATAAAGGAAGGAGGGAAGAAGGAAAGAGACACAAGCAGTCTCTCCCCTCCCCTTTTCTATTTCCCATAGTTGACCAGAGTCAGGTTCTTTGACCCTTTGGAGGTGTTTTATCTGTAATACATCATCCATGAGTATCTGTAAGCTTTTTAAAAATTCATATGTGTTAGAAGGTGGTCAGAAGAGTCTGGCCACTGTGGGCACCACCTAGGAGGTTAGATCTCCCTTAGAGCTCTCTGATTCCTGGCTACCAAGAAGCTTTTCCTCCACCATGCCAATTATGGACTGAAACCTCTACAAACTGGGCCAAAATAAACCTCTCCTCCTTTAATTTGTGGGCATCAGCAACAAGAATGTGATTAAGACATTGAGTAAAGTATGGATTTGATCTCGATATAAAATATTAGTGAAACGGGGGCTGGGGATTTAGCTCAGCGGCAAAAGCGCCTGCCTGGCAAGCACAAGGTCGTGAGTTTGGTTCCCGGTACCGGAGAAAAACCAAAAAAAAAAAAAAAAAAAAAAATTAGTGAAGCTTAATTTCTTTCACTTCAATGAACACTAAAGTATAGATGCTACAACTTTTTTTCTGTCTCAGTGGTGAATCATGCATGCCCCTGTGATGTGTCGGTCTGGCTTTGAACATCAGCCTCACAGATGGCTATTTCGTAACCATCCTCATGGCCCTGCAGACTTTGTGAACACCTTAATGGACAAAGTCCCAGAAACCAAATCAATAGGCATGTGCATCTTGCCAAATTTCTCTATAATCCAGACTTGTTCCAAATGACCTGCCTATGATCACATGAGGCTTTAGGAGGACATTTAGATATAAACTGTAACACTCAGCAGTGTGGGGCAGATAGCCACATAAACACTGAATCCCACGGTGTTCTGGGTAAGGGAGGAGTTCAATGCAGAGGGACAAACAGAGGTACCTGCTTGACTAGTTGATTTGTTTTTAGCAGTTGATTACTTCTTCTACTTTGTATGTGCTTGGTTGAGTGAATTTCTTGATTCTTCTCTGTCTTAACTTTGTTAGTAAATACATGAATCGGCCTCTCAAGATATGACCTTTCATCTTCTAGGGACTCCCTGGCGCAAGGAGCAGACTGAGGACCTGCAGCGGGTGCTCAAAGACCTTGACAGAGAGATCCCACTGGTCCTTGTCAGTGGCAACCATGACCTGGGCAACGTCCCCACAGCCGAGACCATCCAGGAGTTCCACCAGACATGGGGAGATGACTACTTCAGCTTCTGGGTTGGGGGTGTCCTGTTCCTGGTACTCAACTCCCAATTCTGGTACGATGCCTCCCAGTGCCCGGCCCTGAAGCAGGCCCAGGACTGCTGGCTGGACCAGCAGCTGAGAATCGCAGGACAACGGAAGTGCCAGCATGCCATCGTCTTCCAGCATATCCCGCTGTTCCTGCACAGCATCGATGAGGATGACGACTACTTCAACCTCACCAAAGCTGTGCGCACAGAGCTGGCGGACAAGCTCACTGCTGCAGGTAGGCCCCGGTATGGGAGTCTGCAGCAACTCCTTCGCCAGCACCTCTGCAATTTGGCAAAGAGGGAAGCTTTAGATGGAACTGGGTTCTGGTCCAAGTTCTACCACTCACTAGCTATGTGGTTGTGGACAAGCTCCCTGCTCCTTTGGAGCCTCAGTTTCCTCACTGGTAAATCAGAGTAACAGTAATGGCTCTCTTATAGGATGGTTGTGAGGAATAAAACACAGGCCATGCTAGCCTGTAAATGTGTGGTAGCTGCTCCCAGGTAAGGATGGACGTGCTCGACAGGGGAGCTAAGGTTAGGTCTGAATGTGGTTGCATGTGCCTCAAGTCATGGCACAAGCAGGGATGTCTTTCCCCTCATTTCTCTAGGAAGCAGGAACTGGCTCAGGGCCAGCTGATGCTAAAGTGCCAAGCTTCTCACCAGCAGAAGCCCGGTGTGCCGCAGGAAGTCCTGGGATGTGGCTCTAATGGAAGGTCCTGGGCTTCCTCAATTTGCCTCTAGTGAGATGGATTAAGTTCCCATCTTGACTCAGGAGAAGGAAATGTGTGTGGCCTGTACTCTGCTGCACACTTTTAGCCAATCATACGTGTGACAGACCATTTACATACTCCAACAAATGGAGACAACCTGTTTGTGAGAGTGAGACCTAAGCTTCCAGTGATGCGTCTTCTGGTCTCGGCCCTCACCTCATCTTTCCTCTTGAGAGCCCCAAAGTTGTGGGGCCTCAGCCGAATTCCAGCTTTGACAACTGGTCCGAATTCCTCCTTTCAGATCTTTCCAGGGCTTTCTTGTATAAAACACTTCAAAAATAATTTATGTTCTTTTATTTGGTATGTGAGAAGGGGAAGGGGCCCTGACCCAGAAGTAAGCATTTAGTTTTTTTTAAATCCTGTTCCCCTTCTTTTCATCTTTGAGTATTAAATGTGTTTCACATACTTGTGAAAGGTACAATAGGCCCTTCTGTGTTTCTGAAACATTTTACAAAAGGCTCCCATAATTGGAGACATTTTCCAACTGTTCCATAGAGACAAAGTTGGAAAACTTCTATTAAAGGCCTTTGAAATTTTCTGCCATGCTTCAGTTGGTACAGAATGCCATTCTGATGCCAGGGAAGTAAAGTGTCAAAGTGAAATCAGCTCCACCATGGAGGCTGTTTTGCAACAGAGAATAAAGCTAGGAGAATATTTGATGCTTCTGACACAATTCCTTTCATAGCATATGGCGAGTGATGCAGATGCCATTCCCTGGTTGCTCGTCTTTTTCCACTCGTTGTCCAGTTCTTAAGCGGCACATGGTCTGAGTTTCCCATCTAAAGGCAGAGCACATGTTGCCTACTTCCACCCCCTGGTATTAGGAAGACCCCAAATGCCAGGAGACCCAGAATGGGCATTGCATCACACTGGAATCAGCAACCCTGCAGGCTCAGAGTCCAGGGGTGTCTCCACACCCATCGTTATATGTGACTCCAAAATGTCTACAACTCTTAGTGCCGGTTGCTTAATCAGAGTAGGACGGAGCCCTCCTCCAGCCTCATCCACGCAGCAGCCTCTTCCCATGAAGAGCTACATGAGAAGCCAAATTATACTCAAGATGTTACTTGGGAAACAAAAGGCAGAGTAGGGGCTTAGTCTCCTTTTTCCACTCATAATGGCATCAGGCCCCAGCATCCTGATGGCCCTATATCCAGCAGGGGCTTTCTTGCTTGTAGGGACTTTGCCAGTTCATGTCAATTTAATTCTACCTCTTTAATTTCTATCCAGCCCATTCTTTGCTTTCACCCACCACTGTCTCAGCTGGGTCTTAGTGGCATCTCTGAGCCAGGCATGCTGCTCCACCTTTGGGTGGCTCTTTCTTCTCCCAACAACCCACAGGAACCACAAGAAGAGTCCTGACCTCCCCAACCCAGGAGGAGACCCAGTTCCTCTCCATGCCAAAAGTTGCTGTTTTGGGGGCAGGGGATTTAGCTCAGCGGCAAAGCGCCTGCCTGGCAAGCGCAAGGTCGTGAGTTCGGTTCCCGGTACCGGAGAAAAACCAAAAACCAAAAAAAAGTTGCTGTTTTGCCCTCTGGCCTCCTCCATGTCACGTCACCTGGCCAAGCCCACTCAGCTTTGACCCCATCTGTGTGATGTCCCCCTTTACCTCATTCTTCCTTAGCTTTCCTTGATCCCAACACTTGTCAAGTGGATTTTTAAGTGTTGATGTGTCCAAACTCCTCAGTAGATTCTCAACTCCTTCAGGGCAGGGGAATTATTCTTCTCGCCTCTGCATTTGGGAGGCCTAGCTCGGGTCTTAGCTCGCAGTGAAGCTTCATCTGTGTTTGTGGGATGAACGAAGTAGTGGAAGTCTTCAGCTCATACTTCTGTGCTCAGTGGGCAGCTGACAGAGTGCAGTAGTTGTCCAGCACCCACCCTATGCCTGGCACAGCACAGAGCAGGTCTAGGTTCCCATGGAGCTGCTGACAGAGTCTTTTCACTGTATATTCCAGACCATCTGCCCCCCGCCCATCCAGTCCTATGGCCTCCATGACATGCAGTCCCAGGAAAAGCCTGCAGGGCATCCCTCTACCCTGATCTACCTGCCAGCCTTGCAGGGTTACTCAGCATTAAGTTTCTGCCTCCCCAAGCGCTCCCTCCCCACTTTCCCCAGGTATCACCTTCAGTATGAGGTCACTGATCTTAGGATCTTCACCTACATCTCACGGCAAACCAGAGAGATGGGAGCCTTCCTGTGATCACCCATCATGTTGGGTGGCTTGTCAAGCCAAGCCCTTTACTTAATGACCTTCAGACACAGAATAAACCTGAGGCCACATCCAAAAGACCCAACTCAGGATCTTTCAGGTCACTTGAATGACCTACTGGGTTGGAAGGCTCAAATAGGTTTTGTTTTTTTTTTTTTTTTTGGTACTGGAAATCAAACTCAGGACCTTGCGCTTGCCAGGCAGGCGCTTATGTCACTGAGCTATGTCCCTGTCCCTGGAAGGCACAAATGGGCAGGCTCTATGCAGATATTTACATACCCAGTTTAAGAACACGGGCAATGGCTGGGCTGACAATACAATCTGAACTCATTTGCAAAGCTGGAAGTTCAAGAGATGCTTTGTAAAGTTTGTTAACTAAGATCTGGATAGCATTGGAGGTGATGATGGCAGATGGTATTTAATGTTGCCTCCAGGTTTCTCCCCCCACAGCAATATTATTCGCTAGTACTATTTCAGTCTCATTTATCTCCTTGTGCTAAAATGCCAGTACTCAAAAATATGTCAAAAGCTCATCAGACTATCAGGGTAGCTTTTAATTATGATAATTGTGTTGTTATAAAATATCCCTTTAAAGAACACATCCCTCCCCATACCACCATGGAGGTAAAACCCTGCTTCCTTCCAGCAAGTTTAATGAATAATTCTGAATCATTGTGTGGGATGAATAAATGATTTAATAATGAGCATCAACAATCATCTCCCATTGTTGCATTAATTTTTTTAAATGGGATGAGGTAAATGAGGAGGAAGGGATGTCACTATACAATGGGCCACCTTGTGTGTAGGAATGCACTCTGTGATTCAAAACCCAAGCGCTTCCAAGCTCAGGTTTCCCTAGAAACCAATACATCCTGTTTCTACTTTGGAAGCTCAATAAAAAGCCACTTTTGTATGATATAAAAACGTCAATAACTGGTACAAATAAACAGATATGAGGGCAGGACAGATACACAGATGTGAAGCGGCACCTGTTATTTTCTGTCTTCTTCTGCTCCGCCTGAGAATAATCATTTTCATCACATCTAAGGGATATAGAAATTGGTTTTCCTGTTAATTCCCCTGATAGGTGGTGGGAGTTGCAAAGACAGGTCATAGATAATGAAATCTTGGTCGAAGCTGAACGTTGTCTCCACCCTTGTGGCTCTTGCAGCAGAAGGTTAGTATGTGACTCTGTTAACATGGATTGCAATTTAAAGACTCGAGCTTAAGAAACAGGAGTCTGGCACTTTTAACTGGCCATGTTCCCCTGATGTCTTGATACCTTGTCTCTTTGCTATTCTCAAAATAGAGATCAGAACTGTATATTAAAGAGCCCGGAGCAAATTTGGCAATTATAAAAGATTCCAGTAAGTTGATCTTTCCTGCAAAAGTTAATGGGCAATTTCACAGAATTAGAGTTTCATCTCTAGTCTTTATGTTTAAAAAGAAAAAAATGGCAGAAAGAAATCTTAGCCCATGGTTGTGGCTTTAGAATGTCAAAGCTTTAAAGACTATAAAGGTCAGGTTCCCACAATATACTTTATAGGAAGACTAAAACTTCCAACTCGACCCTGATGTCTTACTATGTTATGTTGAAACTGTTCATATCCTGATTGTTCTAGGAAACACAGCCCAGCTGTGTTCGCCACTATAAACCCAGCCCCAAGCTGAGACTGTCACTTAGTTGTCCCTCAATAAGTAAATATTGGTTAAATGGAATTCAGTTAGGCTTGATTTGGATCTACTTCCCAGCAGAATCATAGGTAACGTCCACATCACCTATGGGTTGGTGTTGACCATCTCATTTCCAGATAGGAAATGCACTGCCTGGAGCAGGAGTCCGCACACTTACCTGAAAAGGATCAGTTAGTAAATATTCAGGACTTTTCGGCTTTACAGTCTCTGTAGCAAATACAGCAAAATCCTCTTGGCTCCTGGCATGTGCAGAAAGACAGACAGTATTTTGAGTCCAAGAGTTTTTCAGGGTAGATAATAAGGAATGCATACCTAATTTTATGCAAATGGGCTACTAGTTTAAAAGGGCAGGAACCACTAAACTAGGTGAAAAATTCTTCTGGAAATTAATGATAGGATCTATTTCTTAAAGCACATGCTTCTCCATTTAATGGGTTAGTAAAAATCCTTTGAATGCATAGTTTTATAGGGTTTTTCTAAATCTCGCAAATGTGTCCACAAGACAGCAGTAATCATCCTACAGTGTCTTCTGTTTAAAATGCAGTTTTTAGCCAGGTATGG